GAGCTTTGATTTGTGTTTTGAAGTTAGATACTTGATCTATTTTTGTTGTTCTTTATGTCAATTTGATCACATTGCATGATCTTGCATGATTCATAAGCCATGCATTGATTTGAAGCTTTGTTTTAGAGAGAAAAAAGTGATGTTCTTGTGTTTTTGAAGAAAAGCCATGTTTTGATCCAAAAGTTTGTAACAAGTTCTATGATTTTGGGTATGTTTTGTTTGAATTTGGGAGATGAGTTTTAGAGATAAAAAGTACGAAAAATTGTTTGGTTTGGTTTTTTCAAAAGATGTTTTGGAAAATTATTTTGAGAGAGAGTCTTGGAAAAAGTGATTGATTTGATGTGTATGAGAGAGAGATTTGTTTGGAAAACTTGTAAACCAAACAAGTTTTGGAAAAAAAATTTGAGAAAATTTATTTGGTTTGATTACTTTTGGAAACTTATTTGTAGAGAATTTTTCCCAAAAATTTTTGGGAAACACAAACCAAACAAGGCCTTTGTGTTTATTTGCATGGAGTCTTCAAGTATGAGTACCCAGGTCCATGTTTGCAAACTCATATTATGAAATCTTAGATTTTGAATAAGAAGTTATAATTTTAGCATTTATGTTCTTTATGATCTTCAAGAGGAAACCCAGATTTTCAGATTTCATTATTCTCTGAGTGTGGTCACCGAAACCCACTCTTGTCTAGATTCCATACCTAGGCCAAGCATTGCATCTCACCTTAGCCTACCTTGCATGATCACTTGTACCTTGGTCTACACCTAGGCTGACCATAGCTCAACTTTGCTGATCACCTTGTAACATTCTGGGTGGGCAGCCCACATCTCGGCCAAGGAGACCACACCTCGGCTAAGAGGTGTGGAACCTCGACCATGACCTCTTAAGTTCACTCAACTAGGGCATTTGGTCTAACTCCTCTTTGTGCATCCATTTCTAGACCTAGTTTGTACCCAACATGCTTTTTCTAGAAGAAAAACAATAATTTAGCTTCTAGAACTTGTTTTGCTTTGTTTTGACTTGGTTTTGAAAAGAATATCGAGATCTATTTTACTCATGTGAAGCTTGTTTTGAGATTGCATTACATAACAATCTTTGAGCATCTCTTCTTGTCTTCTTGAAGTGCATTCAACGGGATTTACCATGTATTTGTAGGTCTTGGATCTTTGCCTTATTTCTCCTTGACCAAAAAGCTATTATGAGTGATATTTTTAATAAAGTTATGTTATATTATTTTAGATAAAAGCTTTGCTTTGTTTTGGAAAAGTATTTGATCAAGCATGAATGATTATCTCTTAGTTTTTGTATCAAGTATTATTTTTATTTTGATGACGTTCTTGAAAGGTCCTTGTGTGCTAGGGGACTTTAATACAACTAGTACCTTTATTTGAGATATCTCATTTGCCACAGATGGGTGGGCTTGTCTGATTGATTCCGAGTCGGTTATTCCTTTATTTTGTCAATAAATGTTCATTATTTGTATTATGTAGATGTTAGTAAAAATCATTTGAAGCTTTGAAAGCATTTGATTAATGAACTCGGATCATCCTTTGATTTTGTTACAAGCTATGATGTGTATTGTTTTGATAAAAATCTCGGATATCGTTCATTCAAATCTTTATTACTTATATTATTCATTGAGTTTTTAGCTCACCTCTATTCCTTATATATATTTAGATGATGAATAAGAAGGCGATGTCGCCTAAGTTTGGTGGAGTATGTGTTTTGTTTCATGTTTTGTATTCATCTTGTAGATTATACTTCTTAGTTTTGTAGATTTTTTCTTTTGTATGTTTTGGCTCAAGAAACCTTTTGATAAAGATGTAATATATGGATGTTTGTGTACAAGCTTATTATCTTGTTTGTATCCAAGTTGTAAAGCTATGTTAATATTTTATGTATCTCAATGTATATCATTTCCTTTAACCTATGCACAGCTCTTATGGATTAATTAGATTTAAATTTATTACTTCCGTATATGTATGCCCCATATGTATACTCTGCATGTGTGAATCTTTGTAAGTTAGCCTTTGGTAATCTGAGATTACTGGCCATCATGGCATCATTCTATTAGAGGCGGAATGGGGTCGTGACAGGTACTTTTTTTTTTTTATAACTTATGCCTAGAAAGGCAATTTGATGTGTTTTGATATATGCAATTCAACTATTCGGGACAAAATTATCCCCCATGTTGTCTCGTGGTTTTTGAGGGAGGCTATTTAGGGTGATGACTTTGAAGACGTGGGTAACGACGATGATGATGACGATGAAGATGATAATGATGAAGAAGAAAATGAAGATAAAGATGAGGACAATGATGAAGACACAGACGAAGATGAGGATAAGGACAAAACCAACATGAAGACACACACAAAGATGAGGATAAGGACAAAACCAACACGAAGAAGGTAACTTTTACAAAATTCTAAGCAAAAGCCAAAGTCTCCTCCTTACCATTGTTAATTTTCAATTTCTGAACATACTAATACTTTATTTCCCTGTTTTTCTGTTGGCCATTTGATTGGGATTTTCTAGCAGTCATCTAGACCAAAGGTGAGAGATGATATAACTACGTAATTTATATTTTACCCTGTACAAAATGTAAAGATTTTCAATGGTGTGTGCTTTGGATAACATCTAGTTTGCTGTGAATTACAGAAGAGTATGCGAACACTACCTAAGGAAGGTTAGCAGAGTGAGTGCCCACCAAAATGCAAGCAACAATAGTAGGTATTAGATTACAGATAACATCTTCATTTGGGAGTACAGGCTGGGGGATGTTGTCTTGAGTTTTTGAGAGTTTTGGGTCTTGGATTTCTCCCTCGTCTATTGAAGTTGTTTGGTTCCCGCTCGCTCTCTCTCTCTCTCATATTTTTTTCTTATAAGGAATATTTATATTTTGTTTTTTTAGAAAGTATTTATATTACATTTGGTATCGTGGAAGGAGTCGTATGAGATGAAAATCTCATGTGCGATTCTGAAACGAAGATACTTGATTCAAATAACAACCGTAATAGATATGTTAAATTAATTCACGATACGCATACATATATATTTTTCATTTTTCTCCTCCTTTATGTTGGGAGCATTAACGCTTGCATTTTAGTTTCAAGTTAACATTATGTTTGTATTTTAATTTTCGGATAATGATAACGTGACCGCCGTCCAACTAGTTTATTTATATATAAATAACATATATACTCTTTGATTTTTAGCAATATAATAAAATAAAATTATTACAATACAGTACATTTATTATTTATTTTATGGATTTAGATTTTATGTGGACTGAACCGTATTGCTCAGATCTGTGAGGTTTATCATGAGTCTTATTTTAATAATATGAATCATTCAATATGTAAAACTTGCTGACTATTTTATTCTTGTAAAAAAATTACATTAATTGGATATCGATAACTACTTAATCGGATCAGATTTTTATTAAAAAATTATTTTAAAAATCATATTTATCATTGATAGAAATATAATTTAATCATATGACTACAGATATTCAATTTATATAATTTTTTTATAATAATAAAATACTAAAAAATTATTTAAAAAATCATATTTATCATTGATAGAAATATAATTTAATCATATGACTACAAATATTCAATTTATATAATTTTTTTTATAATAATAAAATACTTAACAAACGTTATGCATAAAAAATTTAAATTATCAAAATAAGATCCATTATGGATTTTCACAAATCCAACAATAAACTTCAATTAAGTAGGTATTTGGCATGCACTAAGGCCTTGTTTGGCATATATTAAAAAAGTCAAAAAGTCAAAAAGTCATTATCCTATTTAAATCACATCATCTTATTTAAGTCACATCATCTCTCTACAATATCACTTCAAACCCAACCCATACTCAACCCATATTTCATAAAAATTTAAAAAGTACACTTATTTAGAACATCCCAAACCACCCCTAAATAAATATACTTTTTGATATACATATACTTATTTTGATCATATCAATTAATACCTATCAATATTCCCTCCTTATTTTTTTGTTAACTTTCTTTATTTTTATACAAAATTTTTTATAAAAAATCAAAAAATACATTTATTTAAAACCTCCCAAATCAGCCCTTAATTTCGCACGGAAGAGAAGCGTCGCCTGATTTTATTTCTCATTTCACATTTTAAGCGAGTTGTAATGGCCCCGTTTGGTGTAACTGTTAAAATAGCTTATAGATTATAACTTAACAGATTATAAATTATAACTTTAATTAGAAATTGTTAATCTCTTTGATGTAACTGTTGAATTATAATCCCCTACGTGAGCCACGATGAAACACGTGGCAAGTTTATCTCGTCCAAGTCGAAGGAAATCGTGAATATTCTAATATAAAAATCACGAGAGCCGTCGATCAATGCCAACCCCTGTTAACAGGGATCAACGTCTCATCTACGGTCAGGCACGTCTGACTGTTGACTCTTTCGCAATTCATTCATTGACAGCCGTTGGATCGTTCTGGACAATTAATAAATTATCCCCCCCCCCCCCCCCCCCCCCCCTTCTCCTTCCTTTTTTTTTTTTTTTTTGCTTTCCACAGCAGAAGCTGATAATCAGAAGTAAGGGGTGAGCAACTTCTCAGAATCAATTTTTTTGAGTTAAAAATAAATTGTTAGAATTAGAAACTGTTTGAAATAAGTTTAACTAAATAGTCTAAAATTACGTTTTCAAAATTAAAAATCATAAATTAACTCTGAAAAGGTGAAACAAACCCTCCTTATGTGAACCACGATGAAACACGTGGCAAGCTTATCTCGTCTAAGTAGAAAGAAATCGAGATAATTCTCATATAAAAATCACGAGAGCCGTCGATCAATGCCAACCCCTGTCAACCGGGGTCAACGTCTCATCTACGGCCAGGCACGTCTGACTGTTGACTCTTTCGCAATTCATTCATTGACAGCCGTTGGATCGTTCTGGACAATTAATAAATCAACCCCCCCTCTCTGTACACATTTTCATTTTCTTGTACAGCTTCTCTCTCGCCGTGAAATTCCATTACCCCCTTTTCGTTAGATCTCTTCTCCTTGATTTCTCGGCTTTCAATTCGTTCGACGATCTGCGTTTTGATTATGGATTCGAGTGTTTTCGTTGAGCGATTCGCTTCCGATCTTCGATTCAGAGATATGTGGTACAAGACTCATCCTTTCTTCGGCCATGGGTGAATTGACTGGAAATCGAAAGATCTATCGAGGTACGTAGTAGATTTGTTGTTAATAGATTAATATCTTGTTCTTCATCCCCATTTTTGCACGTAATTAAGTTTTCTCCTCCATTTCTTGAAGGCTCTTAGGCTATGTTTGTTCTGAACCATTAGTGCTCGGGCTTTGTTCGTTTGGTTCGATGCGAAACCTTGCTGTCTTTCTGAAATTCTTGAGGTGTGTATTTACAAACTTTGACAATTTCGTATGTATTGTAATTCTTGGGTTCAGATCTATTAATTTTTCAACTTTTTGTGTTCATTTTCAGATCTAAAACGCTCGGTTAGATCGGTGCAATCAATTCAGATCTCGTGATTCTTTATGGATTCAGATCGGATTTTGATATGTAGCTGTGAAGGATTGCTAAAGTGTTTCTTTATGCTTTTTTTTGATGGGCTTTCTTTTGTCATCTTTTTGGTATAATAAAGAAGATAGTTTGTGTGTGTGTGTGTGTTTTCGGTGTATACCAGAGAGGTATAGCCTAGGCTAACAAAAAAAATGTGAGATGTGTAATGTTCTACTGGTTGTCAATCGACCTTTGCCATGTCAGGTGCGCTTGCTTGGCAGGTCAAAAAAACCCTAATAAAAAGTTTGTTTTTTGTGTTTGAGGAGGAGATGGTACGGGGTTTTGCCCGGCTCTCCCCTTCTTGTGTGTTGCGTCTCTCTTTTTTATTTTTTTATTTTTTTTGGGTTTTTTCTTGATTCTGTCCTCCCCAATTCTCTATCCAACCCAATCCGTTGTTCATCGTGTCTTTATTTGTCTCTCGAATGGATGATTTTACATCGATTCGAACAAATAAGGACATCAACACGCCAACTATTTGTATTCATCAAGCAAGCCCAGTGCCACGTGTCGGCCTGGGATTGGCCGGGAACTTAAAAAAAAAAAAACTGTTTTTTTGCCCAATCATGGGTGACCCCCAGCACCCCAGCTGGGGGTCCAAGTCATTTTTCTTTTTCTTAATTCTGTCCTCCCTAATTCTCTATCCAACCCAATACGTTGTTCATCGTGTCTTTATTTGTCTCTCGAATGGATGATTTTACATTGATTCGAACAAATAAGGACATCAACACGCCAACTATTTGTATTCATCAAGCAAGCAAACGCAAGGATGGGATTTGCACATCATGACTATTCAGTCCAAGAGGTACAAACAAACAATTTCCTTTAATTTATTTTGGCACTAATTACTGCATTTTGAGCATTTTAATTAGGGGAAATTACTAACATACGCCCAAAACTGTTGATTAGTTGAAAAGAAAATTTTATAGTACACCATATGCTAAAATATGATTTTATGGTCTTTTGGGTACTTCCTATGTTATGACTTGGTCATGACTGGTGTTTATGACCTATTGTGATTAGGAAAATGATATAGAAGTCAATTTTCTAGACTTATTTTTTTGATGTGGAAGAGATGATTGGAAATGATTAGACACTACTATCGTGATTATTATTATTTTGGTTATAATTTTTGGTTAATTGAAAATGACTTTGGATATATTTGAGGTGTTTGTTTCAGTTTTTCAGAGTCAACTTATGACTTTTAGCTTTGAAAAAATTATTTTGGACTATTTGGTTAAACTTATTTCAAAGAGTTTTTGTTGATTAGTTGAAAAGAAAATTTTATAGTACACCATATGCTAAAATATGATTTTATGGTCTTTTGGGTACTTCCTATGTTATGACTTGGTCATGACTGGTGTTTATGACCTATTGTGATTAGGAAAATGATATAGAAGTCAATTTTCTAGACTTATTTTTTTGATGTGGAAGAGATGATTGGAAATGATTAGACACTACTATCGTGATTATTATTATTTTGGTTATAATTTTTGGTTAATTGAAAATGACTTTGGATATATTTGGGGTGTTTGTTTCAGTTTTTCAGAGTCAACTTATGACTTTTAGTTTTGAAAAAATTATTTTGGACTATTTGGTGAAATTTATTTCAAAGAGTTTCTGATTCTAAAAGTTTATTTTAATTCAAAAAAGTTGATTCTGAGAAGCTATTTACTCTTTACTTCTGATTATCAGTTTCTGCTGTGTACATGTTAATTTATGGTTATATTCTTAAATTTTTTTATTTTTTATTTTTTTAAAAATAGAAAAAAACTCAAATGGACTATAGATTATTATTATTTTTTTTAATGAGAAATGTAGACAATTAAAAAATAAAAATTAATTGAAAAAGTTATTTCACAGTTTATTTAACAAACAATATTCAGTAACTTAAATCTATAATCCAATGGTTACACTAAACAGATTAACAATTTTTGATTTAAGTCATAATCTATAATCTGTTAGCTTATAATCTATAAGCTATTTTAATAGTTACACTAAATGGGGCTATTTTTTTGTGGTGTTTGGTTGGGACATTATTTTTCTTAAGTTATGATTTAGTAATGATATTTATGGTAATTAATATAAAAATGTACATATGGTAAGGCTCTGTATTCTAGAATGATCCCTTTGTAAGTACACTAATATTGTAGATGGTTCAAATGTCAAAGATTGTTGGTTTGGATATTGTGTAATTGTGAACAATGTAATTTGAGAGAGGTTCAGTTGTACTGTGATGGTGTGCGTGGTCTGGTTTATATTTTTGTTTTTAGTTTATATTTCTGTTTTTGGTTAGGGTTAGGGTTGGAATGTGTGGTGGTTTGGAGGGTTGGTCCTTTATGGGTAATTGTAATTTAGTCAAAATGTCAATTGTAAACTAGTATAAAGCTCAAGGGTTGGTGGTGGCTGCATGTTGTGACTTTAAATCTCAGATGTGGGTTCATGGATTTTGTTTTACTCTTGCAGCAGAGTAAAGATTCTTGATTCCTCTGTTCGGCGGCTGGAGAGGATGAATTTTAGCGGCCTGATCATTTGTAGGAATAAATTCAGGCATTGCAAAAAAGAAATTTTTTTGGTCATGTTGGTGCAGAGGAGACCCATACTTTCTTTTGTGGTGAATTCAATTTTTTTTGGCTATTTCTTATTTCTTCATGTGTAGATTTTGTGGTGTTAACTTCCTTATTTTTTTGGCAGATGCTGGAGTTCTTTATACTAGTATTTCTTGAGGGTATGTGTGAACTCTCTTCTCGAAAATTGTCACATTGATTGTATAGAATAGATTGTTTGTAGTTTCCTTTTTACGCTAAACTAGCTGGGCAGTTAATATTTAGGGGTTGTTTGGGATAATCTAAATAAGTGTATTTTTTGTTTTTTTACGAAAAGATGTGCAGAAAAGTAGAGAGATGATGTGATGGAAAAAAGATAAAAAGATAAAAAGTGTGTACTTATTTTGAGTTGTCAAACTTGGCTTTAATATTGCAAATTGCAATTTTTGCTATAATAATTTTTATTTTTTATTTTACCCTAGGGTGGTGCGGCCACAAATGCATTGTAGGAAGTGTGCAGTTCAGCATTGTGTATTTGCTTGTGGTTGCCATTTGTTGTATTTACGTCATGTGTTGTGCTGATCCCCAGGAGGCTTGAGTTGGAAGTGTTAATGGGTCATTTCACGTGTGAGATAGATTTCTAGAGTTCGCTTCTGACACGCCATGTTTGCTAAAATGTTGCAATGCCACAATAAGGTATTTCTTTACTCAATAAGAATTAGGAATCTGTCTCGTATTTGTAACTTGTTTTGGATAAAAATTTGCGTAGGTAATACTAAAAATTTTTAGGTTTTACTTGATTGGTTTTTTTTTTTTTTGTTTCTTTGGTAACTTTTGGTGGAATTTTTTAAATATGATTGGAGATTAAAGTTATATTTTAAATTTGTGAGTTTTAAAATTATGATTTGAGTGTGAAAAATTGTGTGTGGTTATGATTTTTGAAAAGAGCTTTGAGTTGAGTTTTCGAGAGTTTTGAGTTTTAAAATTAGAGAAGTTATTTGATTCAAAAATTTATAATTCATAATAGAACATATAATTTAAAATTATATTCGAAACTCGTATAAAAATTTAAAATTTTGAAAAATATTTTTTATTTACAATATAGAAATAGCTCGTGTCAAAAAAAAAAATCAAATATTGTTTTGGTCAATCGGCCGAACGTCTGGGAAGATGACTAGGTTAATTAAATTTTTTCGTTTGGAAAGGAGTTTTTAAGAATGGGTGTGAAATTATAATTTGAAAACTCAAAACAAACACAAAACTCGTGAAAGTGAGTGGAAATGTATTTGGCAAACATAATAATGTGTTTGGCAAACATAACTAGATACAGGCTTTATTTCTACATATTTTTCTACAAATAATAGATCTAAACAAACTTAAATTCTATAAATTTTTCTACAAAAAATGGATCTAAACAAACTTAAATGCTGTCTGAGAGCATCTCTAACGATGCATCAAAATTTTTATCAGGTTTTAGTAAAAGCATTTTTTGACATCACGGAGAGTTTTGGCTTTTCATCAAATCACTTGATGATTGGGCAAATGACCTGTCAGTGAAATTTTTACAAAATTTTGTTTTGAGGTGGTTGTAGGGGACATTCGACGGTAAAAATATAACGGTAATGAACAGTGATTTGATGGAAGGCATAAAGTATCTTTAATTTGGTGAAATATTTTTGATTTTTTCAATTTGATATATGTTTTATGAAATAATTGGAGTAGAAAAAATGATTATTTTTTACCAAATTTAAATTTGATGATGGTTTTTTGTACATGGTTGAAGATGGCTTTATGAATCATTTTTTTTGGTGAAAACTATCTGTTGTGTTAACGAGACTGTTTTGATGAAATATGGTGGAACTCTTATTATTTAGCATCGTTGGCCTCAAGTGAGTTGTGAGAATTGCTCACTTTTTAGTAATTTATTTATTAAATCATTAGAACATTATCATTTTATTCAGTGAGAACATTATTATTTTGTTTAGTTTTGCAGCTGGTTGTTGAAGCTGTTGTGGTTACTGCAGCAATTTTATTTTTTTAGCCTTTTTAAATTAAATTTAAATTTTCTTGTTTGATTGTAGAAATGTGGAAAATGTGGAGTGCTTGTCAATGTCTTGGTTGAACTGTGATCTATACTATATATTAAGTAAAAGAGAGTTTTTAACCTTCAGTCTTGTGGGAGTTCTAATCTCTCAATTTAAATTTTTTGATTTTTTGATTTTCAAAAAAAAGTTCTTACAATTTATTAATTCTTTCAACTCTCAAGTCTTATAATCATAATAACACATTAATGCATTAAGAACAAGCATAAAATTTTTTTTTGAAATTCAACACATAAATTCGTTAAAAAGTCTCAACAAATATGATTACTATTCTTCGTAATAACACTTTAATGGATTAAGAACGAGCATGAATTTTATTTTTTGAAAAACACATGATTATTATTAAAATATTAAATTTTAATATAATATAATAAATAAAAAAAGACATTTAATTATTTAAAAAATTTAACATATGATTATTATCAAAATATTAAAATTTAATATAATATAAAAAATAAAAAAAGAGACATCTAAAAAATATATGTATATTTAAAAATCACAATTCATATATGTTAATATATATACATGCCAAAGGTTAGTTTGAAGATTAAGGCCTCGTTTGGGAACATGTTAATTTAGTAATTTTTTGACTATTTGGCTAAAATATGAGTTAAAATATAATATAATAAATAAAAAAAGTCATTTAATTATTTAAAAAATTTAACATATGATTATTATCAAAATATTAAAATTTAATATAATATAAAAAATAAAAAAAGAGACATCTAAAAAATATATGTATATTTAAAAATCACAATTTATATATGTTAATATATATACATGCCAAAGGTTAGTGTGAAGATTAAGGCCTCGTTTGGGAACATGTTAATTTAGTAATTTTTTAGTTATTTGGTTAAAATATGAGTTAAAAAAAATTAGTATGTTTGGGATGATTTTTTGGTTTTTTACGAAAAGATGTGCAAAAAGTAGAGAAAAGAGAATCTTTGATTTTTTGGTATGGGGGGTTGATTTTTTGGTTTTTTAGTGACTTTTTGACTTTTTGACTAAACGGGACGCTTCCCAAACGAGGCCTAAGATACCTGGTAAATTGTTAAAGAAGCCGTTACCTCTGTGGGATAAGCCGTTACCTCTGTGGGATTCCAAGCTGACCACAAAACTTTCCTCACTTCCCCCAAAATCTTTTTTCGACTATAATAATTTTAGATGTCATTGAATAATTTTAGAATGTGTATATATATATTGGTTTTAATTTTTTTTTTGATTTTTTTCCTTTTTCTTTTATAATTAAAATAATATAAATTTATAATTAGTATTTTACAAATAGGTGGGTAGGTCTGGATTTGTTTAAGTTTTTAAAACATATTTGGTTGGAATTGCCACATCGGTACAGGGCCGCCCCTAACGTAAATATTTGTGCAGCTACACCCGCATGCAATAAAATGGAGATTTTATTTATTTTTTATTTTTTATTTATTTTTGTAATGGAGTGTTCACCCTTAAATTTACCCTTAAATTTGTAGTGGTGCTAGTTGAAAATATGTCTATTATTTTGATTAACTTTTCAGTACTTTTAGAACAGTAAATTTGTGTTGGGGTTCTGAAATTTATTCACTTTGCTTGTTCATGGTTTTCTAAAAATGTTTTTTAGAAAATTTATTCTTATTTTTCGTGTTTTTTTAGTGTTTGGTTAACTTTTCCAAATATATTTTTATCCCTAGTTTTGAGTGTTTCGTTTGTTTAGAGTTTTTAAAAATTAATTTCATATATTTTTGGTAGTTCTTTTGAAAATTCTTTTCAAGGTGGGAAAATTTTGGCTAATTTCTCGTTCTTCTAGATGTATGGCTGGTTGACTGAGAAAGTGTTATTTATTTATTTATTTATTTTTACAATTAGCATATGTTATTTTTTATATTTTAAATAAAAAAAGAATTTGGAATTTTTTTGTGAGTTTTGAATAGAATCTTGAGTAGTGTGTTTGATTATGAGTTATAAGTTTTTGTATCAAATATTGTATAAACTCAATTCAAAATTCTTTTTAGAATTCTTTTAAAAATTTCTAACTAAACAAATTTTTCATATTCAAATCATAATTTTAAAATTCAAACTCAAAATATAATTCTATTTTCAAATTATAATTTCAAAACTCTTCCAAACACCACCTCAATTTTTTTAAAAAATCCAAAAAATTCTAGTCATACAGAGAACTTGTTTTTTAAAGAAAAGAAATGGGAAAATGAGTTACTATTATTGCTTTTAAAACGAATATTCAAATCATAATTTTAAAATTCAAACTCAAAATATAATTCTATTTTCAAATTATAATTTCAAAACTCTTCCAAACACCATCTCAATTTTTTTTAAAAATCCAAAAAATTCAAGTCATACAGAGGACTTGTTTTTTAAAGAAAAGAAACGGGAAAATGAGTTACAATTATTGCTTTTAAAACGATTTTAACAACTGTGTCCAGCGACTCTGGTGACAATTGAAACAATTAAAAATCATTTTTAAATGGTTCTTTCTCTAGTGATATTTTTTTATATTTTGTTGTCTAAATTATAATTACAACATTTGAAGTTTACTTAAAATATGCGTTGTCATGTGATTTGTAAAATTATAAATATTATCTTATAAGAGTCTTTTATTTATCAAAATTAATTGAAAAATTAATATTCTTTAGTATATATATATTTTTTATATAATGATTAACATTATTTAAATTATTAATTAAAATAATTTTTTGATATAATTATAATTGTTAATTGACTTGGTTTATTAATAAAAATGGTTTTGTTATAAAATTAGAAATTTCAAGGGTGGAATGTAATTTTTTTAATTACAATGGATAAATTGTATTTTAAGTAAACTTTAGAGTGTATTTGTAATTTAATTTATTTATTTTGATCTAGCTAATTTAGATGTGTTCAAAAAAATTAAAATAGAAAAAATTACTAAAAATCAAACAAAAGTGGAAAAAAAATATTTTAAATATAAGAAGTTTTTAAAAACACAATGTTAGTTTTAATCAAACTGAAGGTTTTTGTTGCCAGCTTTTGGTTTTAGTGATTTTTTTTTTATATCACGTTAGTTTTAATTTTGGACTTTAGTTTAAACATAATGTGGGATTCACTTTAAAAATAAAATTTTACTGTATTTTTTTTTTGTCTTTTTTTTTAAATAAATTTTTAAATTCACTAAATATAATAATTCAAGAAGTTATTTCATTTATATTTGTTCTGTATTTATGGATTTTTGAAAATATAGTAGGTAAATTATTGGCCTATTTGGTAACAAATATGCTCTTGTTTAAAATATGGATTATTTGTTCTGTATTTTTTTTTTTGTCTTTTTTTTTAAAATAGATTTTTAAATTTACTAAATACAATAATTCAAGAAGTTATTTCATTTATATTTGTTCTGTATTTATGGATTTTTGAAAATATAGTAGATAAATTATGGGCCTATTTGGTAACAAATATGCTCTTGTTTAAAGATTTTTCATAAATATTATGGGGTATCTTAATTTTTTTTAAATGTTTAAATTTTTATTTAATTAAAAATAAAAAAATATGAAAAATAAAAAATTTAATTTTCTGGTAAAGGGGTTTAATTTTTTGAATAAGAGCAAGGTTATAATTATTCTTTTGTTAGAATTTGTAATGTAACTAATGTAAAAAACAATAAAACAATTGTTTTTATTGAGCATTAAAATTGTTTAAATTATTAAGTGAATTGCATATTTTATTTCATTAAAAAAACATTAATTAATTTGATAATTCATTAATAAAAAGAGTCTTGAAAGATGCGATGTAATTTTTAGAACTATAAGGGGTAATTTGTATTTTAAATAAATTTTAGGGAATATTTGTAATTTGTTCAAATGTTTTTTGCAAATATTATTCTTTTAGATTTGCTTGGTTTATGTTCTTCTAAATAAGGTTTATTAAAATAACTAAACCCCCAAAACTACTTTGATTACTCAAAACTGAATTATATATTTATATATATGTAAAATCAAAAGTAGTACAATAATTAAGGGACTTGGACATTTTTGGCGTTACAATCTTCCTTTGTTTTGGATAAAAGTATTTTATTGTAATCGTATTTTGCATTAAACTAGGTGGTCAATTGAAATATTTTTATTTTTATTTATTCTATTAGAAGTTAGGAAGATGTTTTTTCAAATTAAAGTGGGTTTATGTAAAATGGTTTCTGTTGAAATATGGATTTTGGAGAGTAGAGTTTCTGTATTTGTCTTCCGTTGTTATGGGCAACAGTTTTTGAGTTCAAATAAAAGGGAAATTACAAAAAAAGAATAATAAATAAATAAAATAAAAATTATGGTTTAGACTTTTGAAACAAAATATTTTTTTAATTTTTAATTGTAATTTGTGTATTTTTGTTAAGTAAAATTTATGATAATATTTTGAACATTTATGTATACATTGAGTTTAATGGGTAAAATATTTTATTTTTGTAATGAAAATGGGTGAATGATTAATATTGACAACAATTCAAAAGAGCAGGATTTAAATTTGGTAAAATTAAAAATTCAGATTTATTTTGTTATATGAGTGAAACTTTGTTGTATTTTTTTAAATAACTTACGGTTTAGGTAGAAGTTGATGGAAATTTTTATTTTTATTTGGTAACTTTAGTTTTTATTTTTATTTATTATCAAGTCAACAAACACAATGCTCAATTTCATTTATTATTTTATTATTATCTTTTTTGGGTAGCTTAATTGTATATGGGTTAATCTGAATTTGGTTGTGGATCCATTAGCTCAAAAATTGGCAAGAGCGCTCAAATGCTATTCATATGCGTTTGGGAGGATAGTGGTTCGAATCCACTTGGATCCTTTGTTATTGAGGGAGTTGTGTGGTAAGTGGATTTTTAGTTTTTGTCACTAAAAAATTAGGTGAAAAAAAATTAAAGAGTTTGGGATAGATTTTTTTAACGTTTTATGAAAAAATATGTCAAAAATAAAAAATAAAAATAAATAGAGAAATAT